GGGTGGGGGGTGGCTGGGAAGGCAAGCCTGGGCACACACAGCGTGACTTATGTTTCAAATAAGTTATTGTGTGATTTTTCCCTTGCCACTGAAGCCTGGGCCTGGTGTAGGTGTCTTGTAGAAATATATTGGCGGTCATGTGCTCCCTTAAACCCTTTTTTCATGAGACATGCAATCCCAACCTTTTAGCATGAGGCACGGTTCCTTCCCGTTTATTAAATGCCACCTAATAGTCTCACTCCATCGTCTCTTCTCTCAACACATGAACACCCAGAATTCTAACCTCAGCTCACCCCAACCGCCCACCCGACATGCTCCACGGTTGACTGCCTACCAGCTAAGCAGGCCCAGGACCCCTCTTGAGCTGCAGGCGGCTTGAAAAGTATTTTAAACTCTTTCCCTTTATTTTCACGGATTCAATGAGAAGAGTCTAAGCCCCACCTGTTAAGACTGCTGGGATGCCCATTATCAATCATCTTCCATTTTTTCCCAATTGTTTAGCTCCGGGGTGGCTGTGGGGGTAGAGCGGAAGTCAGCAAGAGGAGGCTCACACACACATCTCCAGACCTCCTCTTCGGATGCCTGTATGGTTATTGCTCCTTATGGCCACATGATGCCACTCTTGGGGTGCTGGATGTCCTGGTTGAGGCCTCATTTAGTTACGGACCCCCAGGCCAGGCTGTTTACCTGCATAGAAGGGTAGTGCTTCCAAGGAGGGGGGGCTCTGCAGTAGCTCCATTTCCTTGGGATATTCAGGGACCCTCCCGTAGGCTTAGTGCTCTTACCTTACCAGTTGCGTACCAGCCATTTCTGTAAAGGGGCTGCCATTTCTATTTGAATAGTTTCACTTCTCTGTGCCCAAGAAAAAGATAAATCTGGATTCTTAAAAAAAAAAATCCCAGGGAATCTACCTAATTTCTATTTTTTGAAACACACAAAACAGTCCAACCACACATTTTCCATATAAGATATCTTGATAGCTTATTGAAAAACAAGGGGTCAGACCCTCTGGTCCCTAGGACATCAAGGGTTTGCCCAGCCTTAGGAGGAAGCAGATAGTCTCTTCATTCCTTCTTGATGTCAATAAGAAAATCAAATTCAAATAATAGGAATTTAACTTCTTTATAGTTCAATTAGTTGCATTACATTCTCTAATGTCACTGCTATAGGTGTTCCTCATATTGTTATAAACCAAGGGAGTGGAGACACTAATACCTTGGTATCCAGTATGTGTAGTACTCAAGCAGCTACTAACGCAGGTGGGAGGTATGGCTGATGGATCAGTAACATTCAGAATTTGTGTCTCAGCTTTTTAGAGCAGAAGCGGAAATCTATCCATGGTTCCAGGCTGATAAAATTCAGAGGGATCGATGTGCAGTAAACCAATTCACAAAGCCCTGGTGGAGTACTAGATTTATTAATCCCCTTGAGAAGCTAACTGCCAAGTGTGAGTACTGGCCTGCTTCTGTAGGCCAGGTTGTCTAGAGAAACAAGTCCAGTGACACGCATATGAAAGAGCTTTATATCCAGAAGTATTTATATATCAAGAAGGCATCCCAGTCCAGTCCAGCTCAAGTCCCTAAGTTCAATGCTCGTCTGTAAGTCCCTCTTTAGACTCCTGTAGCCGCAGGCTGCTGATGCAGAAAAGTGAAGCAGGAGGGTCACAAGCTGGTGGGTGCAGAGTGTTGTGGATCCAAAGTTGGTGGAAACATGGCAGGGTCCCACCAGCTCTCAGGGCCTGTGGTAGAGTCCCAGCAAGCAAGCAGGTGAAGATGCAGAAAGAGATCATCTCTATTCATCTTGCTCTTATGCAAAGGCTCAGGAGGTATCATCAGGCTGCTACTTTGTGGGGTTGAGTCCCCAACAAATCATCACAGGTCCGGTAGGCACAATTGTACAGCGATAATAAGTAAAGATTATAGTAAAGTCATAGAAAGCATGAGAGGTAGAGGAGAGATTGGAATAATGGCGTCAGACACACTTCATGGTAACATGCTCACCTCAGCCCCGCTTGGTGGTCCTCGTGGGGAGAGCCCGTCCGAGAGAGCAGGAGAACCCTCAGGAGTGAGAGCGGGAGAGCCCCCGGGAGCGAGGACGGGGAGAGCCTCTGGGACGAGAGCAGGGGAGCACTTCCACTTTATTGCTAACCAAGGGTTATATCTCATTAAGGGGACACGATTACTCACAGGAAGGGGCAGTACAATAGGCATACACATTGTAGGAAGGAGATGTATGATAGGCATAAGCGTAACAGGAAGGGGATGAGGGAGGGTGTGCCCACAGGAATGGGAAGGTCTAGGGGTATACAGTACATGTGACAAGATGGGCGGATCCTAGATTCATGATGGCAGCCTAACCTTGGTCATCCTTGGGCGGGTTTGACCTCTCTGGTGTCTCCTACAAGGAAACAGACAACAAATATCCTTATCAGAAGGGAGTGGGCCCTACTTATGGGATAGACAGTGGTGTCTGCTTGCTCTAGATGGCTACTCTTGATGACCTCCAAGTGTACAGTCATTCGCAAGCAGCTAAGTTTGGCATATATTCGGGGGAGACAGCTTGGGAGAAATCCTTCTGTTTCTCATACTACTTGATCAACAGGTTTGACCCCACTCTTAGCCCGGGGTGTCTAGTTGGCATCCAATCAACCACCACCACAGACAAGAGAACATTTTTCATCCTGCCACAATGTCTACATGGGGAGATCTTTAAAAAGTCAAGAAGTAGGGTGGCAGAAACTGGATGAACAGGCAGGATGACCCAAACTCATCCAAACGGGCGCATTTTCCTGCTGTGATTTGCCTTCTTTCTACATGGACTTTTCGTGATGCTGTCCCCTCTGAAACTCACTCTCACATATTGGATCCCTTGATTTTGTTTTATTCTAATTTTCTCTTTGGCCTGATATGATTATTTCTGAGTGCTTTGGTTATTACTTAGAATTAACTTTTTTGTTTTTGTTTTTTAATTAGGAGCAGTGGTCGTAGTTCAGTGTTAGAATTCATGCCTTCCATCTGGGAGACTGTGGTAGTTACAGAATCTGGTGTCAACTTGTGATGGGGTGGAGTCTAGCTTGTCAATCAGGTTGCAGCTTGATGACCTCATTTGAGGTGCCACGGGGATAACTAGCACAGTGGAGGACAGATACAGACAGACTCTCTGCTTGGTCTCCCTGAGAGACATTCCTGTTGACAAGCCACATGGAAGCACACTGATGGAGCCAGGGCCCTAGAGCAGGAGGAGCCACGTGGAGACCCACACCAGGGCTGAGATGCTTCCACTGCCACTGGATCTATAAGACTTTCCACTCACTGGCCAGTGATCTTCCTGCATTTGGCATTATTGCATGGCTGCGTGAGTCTAAAGAGGAATTATGGAATAGTATTGGACAGCTGGCCTAATATCAGACTTATGGATTTGATCTGGACTGGGCTGGGATGTTTTCTTAATGTACAATTACTCTCTGATGTACAGTTCTCTATTATATACATATGAGTGTCTGTGAATTTGTTTCTCTACTCAATCAAAACTAACATAGAGACCCAGGATGTTTCCCAGCCAATGTACTTCACACTCAGCTTTTAAACATTTGCTTAGAAGCCATAGATTGCCACATAAATTTAAGGTCAGAAATCTAACTGACCAGTGACTAGAATCTAGTGAGCTAGTCAGAACAGTGTTTTGGAACTATCTGGAAAGCCAAAGTAAGATGCAAAATATATGTAAATAAGGTGGTGAAAATTGAATGATGATAATGGGCAGATCATCCAACCGGACAGACCCACTTTTCCTTCCTGTAAAGTACAGTGTGGTTAATAAATATACAGGGTGGAGCCCTGGTAGCATAGTGGTTACACACTGGGCTGCAATCCATAATGTCTGCAGTTTGACACCACCAGCTGCTCTGGAGGAGAAAGACTGGGCTTTCTACTCCCTTAAACAGTTACAGTCTCAGAAACTCAAAGGACGGTTTTACCTTGTTCTATAAGGTTGCTATGAATCACTATTTGTTTTTGCAATTTGGATATCATTTGCACATATCTATATTAGAAATAGAGTTGTTTTCTTATATTTTAAGGGTCTCTGGATTAGGATTAGGCAGAATTTATATCATTTTTCATTATAAAAGTTAATATGTCATAAGTAAAAACAATTGTAGAAATATAGAAACTAAAACATATCTGTATGCCCTTCCCCTCCCACTGCCCAAAGCTTATATTGTTGTACATTTTCTTCTCTCTTACTTTCAGAAAGGATTCTTTCCCTTCATGAAAAGAAAGATTAAACACACACATTTCAAAGAGAATGATCCACATTGTAAAAATATCAATATGCAACTAGCCCAGGAACAGATAGCACATTTCAATGTGCCTGTGATAGATTTTTATGTCAACTTGTATGAAAGTGTAGGCAGACAGCCCAACTTATCCATCGGGTCACAGCCTGATGATGCCTCCTTCAGGGTGTGGCCTTTTTATGACGGACAAACTGGGAACTTCTCTCTCTTTCTCCACCTCTTGACCTTCCTGCTTGCTGGGTCTCTGTGCCTGCCACCAGGAATAGTGCCACGTGAGCCTGAGGGCTGGCAGCCCTGACCCCATGGGTTTTCAATGCCCTGCCATGTTTCTACTGACCTTGGCTCCATACAGCTGGGCACCCAGTGGCCTGTGATCTTCCTGCATCTGTTTTACCTTTTCACATAGCTCATAGCCTCATGCTGCGTGAGTCTGAAGAGGGCTCCAGCTAGCATTGGACCCATGGATTTAAGTTGGGCTGGGACAAGCCTTCTTTATATAAGATGACTTCAAGATAGAACGCTCTTTCTTTTACATATCTGAGGGTCATTAAT